CATTATTTTCAAGTGCACATGGGACATTCTCAAAGATAGACTACATGTTAGGACACAAACTGAGTCTCTACAAGTACAAGAAGACTGAAATCATATTAAGCATCTTCTCATATCACAATGGCATGCAACTAGAAATCGACTGCAACAAGAACATACAAAAACATTTGAACACATGGAAGCTAAACAGCATGTTATTAAACAATGAATGGGTTACTGAGGAGATCAGAAAGAAATTTAAAATTTCCTGAAAACCAATGAAAATGAACACACAACAACACAAAATCTGTGGGATGCAGTGAAGGCAGTTCTGAGAGGGAAGTTCATAGCATTACAGGCTTACCTCAAAAAACAAGAAAAATTTCTAATAGACTATTTAACTCCACAACTTAAAGAACTAGAAAGCAAACAAAAAGAAACCCCCAGAGCCAGTAGGAAGGAAGGAAACAGTAAAGATCAGAGCAGAAATAAATGACATAGAGATCAAAAAAAACAATTCAAAGGATCAATGAAACAAAGAGCTGGTTTTTCAAAAGATAACAAGATTGATGGACCCTTAGCAAGACTCACCAAGAAACAAAGAGAACCCAAATACACAAAATCAGAAATGAAAAAGAAGTAACAACTCACACCACAGAAATACAAAGGAATGTTAACAAATACTATGAACAATTATACGGCAACAAATTCAACAATCTAAGCGAAATGGACAAATTTCTAGAAACACATAGTCTCCCAAAACTGGACTGGGAAGAGATAGAAAACTTGAAAAGACCAATAACAACAGAAGAAATTGAAGATGTAATCAAGACTCTCCCAGCAAACGAAAGCCCAGGCCCAGATGTCTTCACAGGGGGGTTTTACCAAACACTCAAAGAAGAACTAACACCCATTCTCCTCAAACTATTTTTAAAAATTCAAGAAGAAGGAAGACTTCCAAACTCGTTTTATGAGGTCAGCATAATTCTAATTCCAAAACCAGAAAAAGACACTACAAAGAAAACTACAGGCCAATATCCCTCATGAACATAGATGCCAAAATCCTGAACAAAATACTAGCAAATTGGATCCAGCAATACATCAAAAAAATTATTCACCATGACCAAGTGGGATTCATTCCAGGGATTCAAGGCTGGTACAATATTCGCAAATCAATAAATGTCATACACCACATAAACAAATGAAAGATAAAAATCATATGATCATATCAATAGATGCTGAAAAAGCATTTGACAAAATCCAGCATCCATTTCTGATAAAAACACTCAGCAATTTGGGAATGGAGGGATCATATCTTGACATAATAAAGGCCATATATGAAAAACCTACAGCCAACATCATACTCAAAGGACAAAAACTAGAAGCATTTCCCTTAAGAACAGGAACAAGACAAGGATGCCCACTTTTGCCACTCTTATTTAACATAGTACTGGAAGTCTTAGCCATAGCAATCAGACAGGAAGAAAAAATAAAAGGGATCCAAATTGGAAAGTAGGAAGTGTAACTGTCATTATTCGCAGATGACATATTATACATAAAAAACCCTAAAGACTCCATCAAAAATCTACTAGACTTAATAAATGAATTTGGCAAAGAAGCAGGATACAAAATTAACGTCAAGAAATTGATGGCATTCTTATACACCAAAGATGAACTCAGAGGAAGAGAAACTAAAAAAACAATCCCATTTACCATCATAGCAAAAAAATTAAGGTACCTAGGAATAAACTTAACCAAAGAAGTTAAGGACCTATTTGCAGAAAACTACAGGACATTAAAAAAAGAAATAAAGGAAGATATAGAAAAGTGGAAGCACATACCTTGTTCACGGATTGGAAGAATTAACATGAATAAAATGTCCATATTACCCAAAGCAATCTATAGATTTAATGCAATCCTCATCAAAATACCAACGACATTACTTCACAGAAATAGAACAAATACTTCAAAAGTTCATATGGAACCAAAAAAGATCCCGAATAGTCAAAGCAATCTTGAAAAAGAGGACAAAGTAGCTGGGATCACAATACCAGGTATCAGGTTATACTACAAAGCTGTAATCAAAGCAGCTTGGAACTGGCACAAGAACAGGCACATGTAGATCAATAAAATAGAACAGAGAACCCAGAAATGGATCCAAAACATTAGGCTCAATTAATATTTGACAGAGGTGGCAAGAGCACACAGTGAAGTAAAGACAGCCTCTTTAATAAATGGTGTTGGGAAAATTGGACGGCTACGTGCAAAAAAAAAAAAAAAAATTAAACTTACACCATATGCAATAAACTCAAAATGGATAAAAGACTTAAATGTGACTCATGAATCCATAAAAACCCTAGAAGAAAATGTAGGCAACAAAATTTCAGACATCATACGCAGCAGAATTTTCACTGATACATCACCTAAGGCAACAGAAACAAAGGAGAAAATGAACACATGGGACTAAAAAGTTTCTGCACTGCAAAGAAACCACCACCAAAATGGAAAGGCAACCCAGTCTATGGGAGAGCATAATTGCCAATGATACATCAGATAAGGGGTTAATTTCCAATATATGTAGAGTGCTCATACAGCTCAACAAAAGGAAGACAAAGAACCCAATTAAAAAATGGGCAGAGAAACTAAATAGACACCTCTCCAAACAGGACATACAAATGGCTAAGAGACATATGAAGAAATGCTCAACATCACTAATCATCAGAGAGATGCAAATTAAAACAACAATGAGGTATCACCTCACACCTGTCAGAATGGCCGCCATCAACAAGTCATCAAACAACAAGTGTTGGCAAGGGTGTGGAGAAAAGGGGACTTTAGTACACTGCTGGTGGTAATGCAGACTGGTGCAGCCACTATGGAAAACAATATGGTGTTACCTCAAAAAATTAAAAATTGAACTTCCATTTCACCCAATGATCCCACTTCTAAGAAAATACCCTAAGAAGCCTGAAACACCAATCAAAAAGAACCTATGTACTCCCATGTTCATAGCAGCACTATTTATAATAGCTAAGATCTGGAAACAGCCCAAATGTCCATCAGTAGACGAATGGATAAAAAAGCAGTGGTACATATACACAATGGAGTACTATGCAGCTGTAAGAAAGAAAGATCTCTTATCCTTTGAGACGATATAGAGGGACCTGGAAAGTATTATCCTAAGCTAAACAAGCCAAGCAGAGAAAGACAAGTATCATATGATCTCACTTATTTGTGGAATATAATGAACAGTCTGAAGAACAGGGTAGTCCCAGAGATGTGGAAGTGGGGTACAGACTGACAATTCCCAGAAGATGGGGTGGTGGGGAAGAGATAAACCACAGAACTTATATGCATGTACACATAACCAATGGACATGGACAACAAAACTGGGGACAGGGTGGAGGGAGGGGGAGGAGGGTGTCAATGGGGGAAAAAAGGAAAAACATCTGTAACAAAAATAAAAAAGAAAAATACAACTTAAAACATAAGCTGTGTTCTAGAACTGTAGGCACTTTTTATTTATGTACCTTGCTCACAGACTGTACTAAGAATAAAGCAACAAAAAATATGAGACAGAGAACACTTAATACTAAATCCAATAAACTTTCAACCAAATGTGTATATAATTTAAGATGCTAATGAAACTTCATTCCTCCACTCAGTGAAGGCTTCTGAAATCTTACTATAGCTGTGGCAAAGAACAATCACTTACTTTAAACATAACTGCTCTCCAGTTACTGGTAGGAAACCAAAACATCTCATTTAGCCCCATATTCCCTTGCCAACATCCTTATACAATATTTAGTTATAGGTTTTGTACTTTATGAAATTCTAATTCCTTAGTACTATTGGACACAATCATTCACACAAATAATACACATATACAGCAACTCAATCCTGTTTACTGTTAATTGAGAATCATACATGATGTGGACAAATGTATATACAGTTATATGCATATTTCCATACATGCTTATATTATTTACAGAAATATACATTTACATTCGCTTGCTTATATGATAGTAGGCAGATGCACATATAAATTTAACTTTATTTACTTTAACAACCAATGGATTTTTTAAAATATGTTTTTATTGATTTTTTAGAATGAGAGGAAGGGAGAGAGAGAAACATGGGTTGGCTGACTCCTGCATGCCCTCCACTGAGGATCAAGCCTGCAACCCGGGCATGTGCCCTGACCGGGAATTGAACGGGGACCTCTCAGTCCATAGGATGACGCTCAACCACTGAGCCACACCAGCCAGGGCAGATGTTTTTTTAAAAATGAAAGTATGTATGCAATGAAAAGATAGTTGTTGAGAGCTATTCCTTTTCTTTTCTTTTTTTTTTTTTAGGTAAAGATAAAACTGATCCTTGAAGAGCCTTTTAAAATAATCTAGCCTGAAAAATTAAACTTTGTAATTGAAATAATTTACCGCCATTGTTTAAGAAAATATATTAAAAAGTAAAAAATATATTAAACAGTTTAACTCTTCAGTGATTGCATCAGAACCACCAAAAGGCATCAAAAGGAGAAATGGAGACAGATCCATAGTCCAAAAAAATAAATTGCTGAGTTTATCAAGCTGATACTTCTTCCTAAAATCACTATGTTCCTTTGAAGTTATTAAATTGAACATAAAAGCTGCAAATATAAAACCTCTCATACTGAAAATGCTGGTAAACTTACAGGGAATTTATGAATATCTGCCTCCACAAAAAAGTAGGCAATAAATCAGAAAGACATTGATATAAACATAAAATAAGAAAACTAAAGGATCAAAAGGCACATTCTAAAGAATACAACCCAGTAAATAACAGAATGGTTTACTATTAAAGTAAAATCCTCAAAAACTCTTACTTAAGGCTTAGAAAACTATTTTTTTATTACATGTTTGAATCTTATGCAAAAACAAAAAGTGCTTTCTTACAAGAACTTTTTTATCTGCTGTATAAGTTTTAAAAAGTCACAACAGAAGTGAGAAAATAAAATTTTCTTCCAGTTTGAATATTCTTTGAAGCACCTCATTTTCTCCTAGTTTTTCCTTAACCAAAAAAAACGACAACATAAAAACAAGAAACCAACCAACCCAGGTGACTACTATGGTACTGAGTTCACTGCAGATTCAGTGCTGTTTTCTTTATCCTGCTTTTCTTCTTCGTGTGGTGAATCTAGTTCATTTCTGCTCGTTTCTTCGTCACTGGAATCACTGTCAAATCCACCTTCAACCCCGGCAGACTTCTTGTCTTGTGAAGAACTTTCACATACTTTGTCTGTGGGAACAGCTCCTTTCCTTTGGGGTAAGACAGTAAAAAAAGCTTCTTGCCAGTCTCTTGTTTCCAGGTATTCCAGAATAATCTCAAACACTGAAACAAAGACAAACTGTATACATTTCTTAGCCAAGTTCATCACAGTGTTGCATACGTATTTTAAAATGCATTGCCTTTGTGTTAAGAGTGCTAGTATATTCTAATAATTACTTTGTTCTTATCACTTTCTTCCCCTATTAGCTATCAGAGCCAATTCGCCCCAAAGCTCTCCTGTTACGTTTTCTTTAGTTCTTCCTCAATTCAGTTCTTAAGCACTCAGAAGTTTACCATTGTTCTTTGTCAATAATAATCATAGACAGAGAATCTTTTTGCTTCCTCCCTTTCACTTCTTTATCCTTCATGTGCTATCATAAAACTAAAAAAATAAATCAAAAGGTTAGGATTAACCTAAATTTCTTCTATCTGTCCTATAAAGGGCCTGGGGAGCATCTTGACTGCTTTTTTTTCCCACATTGGAGTTAAAATTTAATACTGTCTCCAAAGTACTATGATTATTACGTTGCTGAAGGGTTAATTTGGATTACTTCATAGAAAAGTAATTTCCACAGTCTATCAAAGGTCTTAGAGGAAGTTCAGTCCTTGAATCAGCAAATACATTTCTATAACTCCCTAGAGCATACTAAAGAGAAAGTTCTTAGCACATAAAAAGAGCTCAATAAACAGTTGTGTACCAACAAAAATCTCTACTAAAAAAACTCCAGGCAAATACTTAGGGTCTAAGAATATCTATTACAATGTTATTTACAATAGTTAAAAAAAAAAATCATCAACAAGAGAATGGTTACATTATATATTCAGATAATGAAATACTACATAGCCATTAACAATAATTAATTGACATGGAAAAATATAATTATAAATGGGGAAAACACCCAGATTTATAATATTTTATGTAATAGAGTAAGAATCCAATTGTTATAAATAATATTATATATGCATAGGAAAAGAACTGGAAGAACATACACCAAAAAGTTGATACCAAGTATCTCTGGGTAGTAAAATTATAGCTTATTTATTTTTCTTTGTTTTTATGAATTTTCAAATTTTTCTAAAATATGCATGTATTATGTCTATTTTCAAACAAATTATAAATCATTACATTGTATAATTTTGTCTCCAGCAAGGTATATATTTTCTATTTCTCCAAACATAAATGTAATGTTACTTTTCACAATGTTCACTCAGATATATTTTCACCTTATCCCCTTATAGCTTACCATGATTAATTGCCAAAACTTTTCTACTATTCATCTTCACAAAATTTCCAAGGGGGAGCTGTGCATGATCAATTCCATGATCTGATGCTTGTTTATATGTGAATCCCTAAAACAAAGACACTATAACTTGAACTAGAACATTAAATTGTTTTAAAGTCAATGACAGAATAAATCACTTTTAGGAAAAGACTTTAGTTCAAAGAATATTATCTGAAGTATGTGTGTTTGTGTGTGTCTGTGTTTAGCTGCTAATTTGGAAATATTCTCTTGACAATGAGGATAGTCAGAATGTTTAGGTATTTGTTTTAACCAATTTAAAAGTGAGGAAACTAAAGACATTATGTTCCCTACTCTGTCACAAAGTTCCTCAGTGGCAGAACCACAGAAAACACTTGGCTCATGCCTCCTGGCTCAAATACCTTCCCACCATTGCACACTGCCTTTCTCTTAGCTTAAAATACTCAAACGGATTTCCTAGAAGTACCATCATTCTTCCCATGAATACAAAAGAAACAGAGATAAAATTGTTTTAGTTATATAACACTAACAGGTACAAATGACAAAAACAAATCCTATGAAAAGTTGAATTGAAAAAAGTGTAAATGGTCTATAAATTTAATTTTTCCCTTTCTGTCAAAAGAATAGAGTATGAATTTTCTTTCTCCTCAAAATTAAAATCCTTAAACCCTGGGTGTAACTAGAACTGAAATAGTCAAAAGACAGAAAGAACTTAATTTTTGAACCGTAGTTTGCATATTTTAGGGACAAATAATTAATAATGATTGAGGCAGGTGCTTTTGAAAACAATTTTTTTTTAGTTCAAAGACACAACAAAGATAAAAATTTGGTTCTACATAAATAACAAAATATAATATTTCCACTAAGAAAACAATAAAAAGGCTAAAGATCATTCTGATAAAATGTCCTTTGATGCTACAGAGATGCACTGTCCAAGTAGAGTCACACGTGACTACTTAAATTTAAATTGATTACAATATTTTAAAATTCTGTTTCTCAATTATACTATATACATTTCATGCACTCAACAGCCAGAGGGCTACCACACTGGAGAGAATGATATAAATATGTCCAACTTTGGAGAAAGTTCTACTGCATAGTGGTGCTGTACAAGAATAATGAATTTGTATTATACTGCTGACAATATTTCCTTAGACACTTAGTAAACATGGTTTTTCTTTAGTTGGGTTGAATTTAACATATTGCAAAGTAAAAAATGATGTTTTCTGTTAGAAACTCTATTTCTGTAATTTTTCATTCAAATGAGAATAAGAAGGTGAAAAGAGACAAAAGTAGAAATATGAGAAAACAGAAAATACATCCCATGAAAATCACATATATAAGTTATAAATTTATCAGTTTTGTTATAAATTTTACCAGTGGCCTAGAAATTGATTAGTAGCAGCATCTGCTATCAATACAGCATATCATTTAAGCATCTGGCTCCAGAACAATCTGCCAGGTTTCAAATATCTGCTTTACCACCTACTACTATTGATCTTAGACTTAGTTTCTCTAGGCCTCCAGTTCCTCAGCTGTAAATGTACATAATAATGGCACTGACCTCACTGATTTATAGTGAGGATTAAGCATATTAATATACAGGATGAGGCAAAAGTAGGTTTACAGATGTGAGTGTGTGCAAGTTTTTTCTTGTATTATTAATTATTATATTATTTTCCATACAAACAACTGTAAACCTAATTTTGCCCCACCTTGTATATGAAATGCTTTGCTTAGCAGGCCCTCAATAGAGATCAGCTATCATCAGTATTGTTGCTACTGTCAAGAAGTATTATTTTTACTATTGAGAAAACTAATATATCAATTTTAAGTACAAGCAAAAGTAAAAATAAAAACTTAGTACCTTGTGATGATTGTGATCTACTAATCCTCCAATCACATAAGCCTTTGATTCATCTAATTCCTTCAGTACATTAGGTGAATCTGACGTAAGATAAATCAGGTCTTCTTTCTTTATGAATTCACTATAGTGTTCTGGTTTAATGTGGATATCCTTTAAGACACATTGGGACAGATGTTATTAACTAATAGGATTTTGTGAAAATTGGTTAATAATCATTTTGAAAGGAAGTAAATCATAAGAAAGGAAGTCTAGAAGAATGTTGTTACAGTGCATTATTTATAACCTACACTACTTTAACTCCTTATCACCTCACACCTCAATTATTTAAGTGGCCTCTTACTGCTATTTCCCAGTCTCTAGCCTCAGATCCCTCCCATTTACTTCCATACACTAAAGGCAAACTCATTTTTAAAAAACACCACTTTAAATGTTTTATCTTCACCTGTAGGATAAACTTGAAACTCCCTAACTTAGTAACTCTTTCCTGAATATGGCACTAGCCTACCATTTAACTTTATCTCTGCTCCAACAAAACAAACCCATTTTGTCACATATTTGCTCACATTGTTTCCTTTTTTTAAATTTATTAATTTGTTTTTGTTACAGATGTTTCTCATTTTTCCCCCATTGACACCCTCCTCCCCTTCCCACCCAGCCCCATCTCCAGCTTTGTTGTCTATGTTCATTGGTCATGCATACATACATGCATGTAAGTTCTGTGGTTTATCTCTTCCCCCACAAACCCCCTCTCCTCTGAGGCCTGTCAGTCTGTACCCCACCTCTATGTCTCTGGGTTAATTTTGTTCAGCAGTTTGTTTAGTTCATTATATTCCGCAAAGCAGTTTGTTTAGTTCATTATATTCCGCAAATAAGATCATGTGATATTTGTCTTTCTCTGCTTGGCTTGTTTCACTTAGCATAATACTCTCCAGGTCCTTCCATGCCATTTGAAAGGATAAGAGATCTTTCTTACAGCTGCATAGTATTCCATTGTGTACATGTAGAGAGTGAGAAGCTGTGGTGTTCACATTGTTTTCTGGCTAAATAATGCCTTGTCCAATTACTTCCTCTCCATCTACATGAATCATCAAAAGGGAGTGGATTATAGATTTATAAATTCCGTGCATCCATTCCTACAAAGATACACGTTTGAAATCTTCTTCATCAAAACTGTTGGGTCAGAGGTACAAAACCAAACAAGAGTTGGCAGTCAGAATTTTGCAAACTGTATCAATAAAATAAAATACATCACCAAGCTCAGATAACATTCAACTGGTGATTTTTTAAGGAAACCAAAAATGAAGCAGGATTTGCCTCACCTAAAATGTATAACCTACCAATTAGTCAACAGCCACTTTTCTGGAAATTATTATATCATAATTTTGGCCCCTACGCTTAATAAAGGCCCCAAGAGGGACTTAAAATTAGAGACCAGTGAACTTGTGTTTCTCTGGAAAGCTGATGGTATAAATAATAAATTTAACAAGCCAAAAAATAATGAAAGTATGGCTACTCGAACTTTATACATAATTTCTTAAGAAAATTGGCATGATCATAAAACTTGGTAAATATATTGTACTGTAAAACTTTAAAAAGCCTTTAAAAATGTTTTACACTATAGGCTATTAATAAAATAAATGTAGTCACTATGGGATTAGTTAGTGTAAGAGGAAACATTTGTCATGGTAAGAATGGGCTTTGAGAAAGAAAAGTACAGAAAAAACCCAGTACTTCTCTGAACAGGAAGGATTCCTCACAGATTGGTACTAATGCCAATCTATTAGTCATTTTTGCAAATGACTGAGAATGGTTTGGTCCTATAAAAAAAGTGAGCCACATATGTCATTTTAAATCTTCTGGTAGCCAGATTTTTTTAAAAAGGGGAAAGAAATAAGTGAAATTAATTTCAATAATATATTGCATTCAACACAATATACCCAAAATGTTATCATTTCAAAATATAATACTTTTTACATTTCAAGGAGATTTTTTTGGTACTAAGTCTTTGAAATCCAATGTATATTCACATTTATAGCACATCTCAATTCAAACCAATCACATTTCAACAGTTCAACAGCTACATGTGAACATGGGAGAGCACAGATTTAGAAGAAACAATGCAAGTACATTTTCAAATTTTAAAGTGACTTCACCCTTATAAATAATGCACAGCCAGTTTGCTAGGTAGAGACTGAATAAACACCTTTAAAATTTTTCATTTAAAAAAATATATGTTTTGAGGTTAGAGGCAAAATAGCAAGTGCAAATAGACATCTCCGTCTCTTTAGCCTCTCCCATTATTACCCTTAAACTTAGGAACGGTGATACTCAGGGTTTGGAGACTGGTGACTCCTGTATTTATTAACATTATGTAGAACTTAGGTAAAAAAAAAATGTAGACCTTCAAGCTTAAAACTACTTGGAATTATGGGAAAGTTAATCTACTTTAATTACCTTCCAGTTGATCCATCCTTTGTCATTTTCATCCATGTTCTTTTTCAACTGGCCTCCATGGCTTGTCAAGTAAAACTGATAGAGATTCACAGGCACAGAAAGAGAGAGCAAATGACTATTAAAGTACAATATTTTATTTCCCTCATACAATAATATGATCAATGAAACACAAAACATTTTCATTCTAGAAAAAAATAAATTTTGGCATGCTTTAAAAAGTGTAAGAATAAATTTGTGGTAGAACTGACATATTTTGTGTATTTCGTAACCCACTAACTTCCTTATTCCATCTACATTTTCATCTCATCTTTTCAAGCAGCTGTAATCTGCCTTTCCCTCAATGATCACTGCTCTACAAACTCCCTGCTCCCATGTCAAGTTTCAATTCCCTTTCTTTTGCCGCCATGGTTTTTTTTTTTTTAACCAATCCAGCCTCCATAATTCTTTGATTATAAAACCTGACACTATTTCGAGTCTAAACAAAGATGAGAAAAATATAAAATGTAAAAATATAAACTTACTATCACTTGATAACACAATATCTAACCAAAAATATATTAAGAATTTCTAGTTCTCAACATCAGTGAGCCAGTGTTAATTAGGTCACCTAGAATTCAAATAGCAGGCAACTCCTAATAGCAGGCAGGTAGTCTCACAAAGCATTCCTTCGCTCTAGCTAAGGAAGTACTTTTCAAAATTATCAGTGACTCAGAATCATTTAAGTAGAATAAATTTACAATAGGTAACACAGCACACATCACACAACACAGCACACATCAGTTCCCCCTACTCCTCAGAATGGAAGGAATGAGAGCTAAGAAACTAGTATGAAAATATGTGTATATCCTTTAATGAAGATGTTCAGCTTCGCAGAAATGAGTAAGTCAATGTGTGCAAGACTGATGATGACTAGGCAGTGTCTGAGAACAATATATTTGAAAAAATGTTTTAAAATATTTTACTATCTTTGTAGAAAACCTGTTTCAAACAGACATTTTGTTCTCTCAGGAGGATTATCTGTAAGACTCTTGTAACAAGGAAAATATAAGAAACCACAGTCTGTTTTATTTTTTTATTTTTATTTTTTTATCTTCACCTGAGGACTTTTTCTTTTTGGCAGATAGAGCAGGAGGGAGAAAAAGGGGAAGAGAAAGACAGAAACATCAATGTGAGAGAGACACATCAACTGGTTGCCACCCACACACCCCCAACTGGGGCCAGAGACAAACTGCAACCAAGGTAAGTGTCCTTAGCGGGAACCAAACCTGGGTATGTGGGTCAATGCTCTAACCGCTGAGCCAAACCAGCCAGGTCAGACACAGTCTGTTTTGTTTTTTTTTTTATCCTCACCCGAGGACATTTTTCGATATTTTTGTTCAGATACAGTGAGAGGGAGAGAGAGAGAGAGAAACATCGACGTGAAAGCGATACATTGAGTGGTTGCCACCCACACGACCCAACCAGGACTGGGGACAAACTGCAACCAAGGTACGTGCCCTCAGCGGGAACCGAACCCGGGTCTCTCCGGACCGCAGGCCGATGCTCTAACTGCTGAGCCAAACCGGCCAGGGCAAGACACAGTCTGTTTTAAATCTCTCAAACACACCTGTACAGGATGCAGTGCCCGTCGATTTTCTGCATAACATCGTTGAATCTGCTTATGAAGTTTCTTAATGTCCTATAAAAGAGTGCAATTTTTAAAGTAGCATTTGCAAAGTCATCTATGGCAATTCTACATTCTTAGTGGGACAGAATAAGGAAAAGGAATGACTAGACAGGTACATTTTTTTTCTTTTAAAATACAAGTCCTTTCTAATAATTTCCATTCAACTTCCTTATATAACTAACAAAATACTTACTATAAATTCAATACTCTGTAAGTGAACCATTTTCTCATAATTTGTATCCACTTAAAATGCTAGTTCATTAAAACATTTACTCTTCTTAAGAGTTAACAAAAGGGAAAAAAAAACTCTTAGAGCCATACTATTACTATTACTATTTTCCTATTACTATACTATTACTATTACCAATGACTTGGAAACTAATTAAAGCATGTTCTCTTCACTGGCATTGTTTAAACAACCAGACTTCTCAAACTATTAAATAAGAATTAATTCTATTAAGACAATCATATTTCTTCTTTTCTTTTTAAATGTTTTTATTGATTTTAGAGGAAGGGAAAGGGAGAGAGAGATGGAAACATTGATGAAAGAGAAACGTCAAGTAGCTGCCTCCTGCACGCCAGCCACTAGGGATCAAGCCCACAATGCTGGCATGTGCCTTGCCTATGACTCAAACCGGTGACTTCCTGGTGCATGGGACGATGCCCAACCAACCAGCCATACCAGCCGGGCATATTTCTTATTTTCTTAATTTTGATTAGGACAAATAAAAACACTCACTGATCTTTATGATTAATGGGTAGCTACTGAATTTTATAATCTAATCATTGTGTTTGTCTCTCCTTCTGTCAACATATATACATACACATAAAAGGAATTTATAATCTAGTTTAACTTAGGGGCTACAGAGTTTGAAAAACCTGATTTAAGATGCTTCCGAGGACATTTTTCCATTTTTTGTTCAGGTAGAATGGGAGGGAGAGAGAGTAACAGAGAGAGAGAGAGAGAGAGAGAGAAACATCGATGTGAAAGGAACACATCGAGTGGCTGCCACCCGCACAACCAACCAGGGCCGGGGACAAACTGCAGCCGAGGTACGCGCCCTTAGCGGGAACCGAACCCGGGTCTCTCCGGACCGCAGGCCGACGCTCTAACCGCTGAGCCAAACCGGCCAGGGCTAGTACATAAATTTATATGGAAGTGATATTAATTACATATTAAAGCAAGAATTATTTAGCCTAGTTTACCTACAGGATTTTTCTGACAATCACTCATGATACCTTTAATACCATCAAGCTGTCGAAACTGCAGTCAATGATAAGGCGAAGTGTGCTGTGAACAACATCTCTTCGAATACGTTTTCTATCATTTCCATCTGAGTTTGATTCCAGCTGACACTGTCGCTCTAATTGCTTTCTCTTGCGTTTTTCCTTCCGCTTTTGTCTAAAATTAGTAATTGAAATAATTTTTTATTGTTATTTATATTCAGATATTTACAACTCTTCTAAGTAGACAAAGAAACAATTACTTTTTGTGCTCAGCAGGCTGAACTACATAAAATCACCACTTCCGTGGATCAAAATTGGTTAAACAGCAGCAATTTTACATAGTCCATCTAAAAGTTTTAGAAAGGAAGAAAATGGGTTTGTAAAAAACAATATAATGCCCTTTACATAAATCCGAACTATACTACTAATAAATTCATTTATTATTGGTATCATACTATAATAAGAAAACTTTTTATAAATACTTAATTTGAGAGTTGTGATAAATTTTACTTTTATCATTCTTCCCTACATGATTTTCAAGCAACATTTATATGAAAAAGCAAAGTAAAATTGTTAGTGAAAAAAACTCATATACTTTTTTTTCCTTATCTACATCAACTGGAGTTTATTTTCTCCCAGTAAATTTTAGCATTATATATACAGTAACAACTTCGGCTTCTGTTCTCAACAAAACCTGCAACAGTTCTAGAAAAATCAATGTTAGGCCCAAATTTGATCTTTCTGAGGTGGTTATTTTCGTGCCACATCTAGGACAAGGATGCTACTTATATACCCTTTCTAAGTCAGTTATTTCAGAAATTGTGCTGCTACTCACAATAGATTTTGGGTGAGAAAAAGTGTGCAGTGTAAATTCATTAACACTGCTAAAATAATAATTCAAAATAAAGTTTTAACAGCCAAACTGACTGTTAGCTAACAATATACAGTCCCAGTTTTAATTAACACAACTTTAATGCGCTAAAAAACTATGAAAGGTCTAACATTCAATATTTAATAGGGGTAGAATATACGCATTTTGAAACATACTTGCGAAGTTCTCGTTGTTCTTCCCATTGTTTCTGCTTTATTAGTTTCTTCATTTGTCGTTTAGATATTGGTTCAAACTCTTCACCTAATCTTGGCTTCTGGCTCTCCTCTTGATCTTCACTTAAGTCTTGCTTTATTTCAACATTAGAAGTCTCAAAAAATGCTGGCAACATTTCAGATGACATTATTTGATGCCTCTGAAAAATTGAAAAGCAACTTTTGACATAGATGATTCATACAAAAGAGTAAACACCAAATGTCCAATATATGTGATTAAAATTAAACCATATCAGAAATGAATAATGAAAATTTAGCCCTGGCCAGGTGGCTCAGTTGGCTGGAGGGTCCCACATACCAAAAGGTTGCAGGTTTGATTCTGGTCAGGGCACATACCTAGGTTGTGGGTTCGATCCTGATCAGAGTGTACAGGAGGCAACCAATTGATGTTTCTCTCTTTCAATTTATCTTTCTCTCTCTCTCTCTCTAAAAATCAATAAACATATCCTCAGATGAGGAGTAAATAAAAAATGAAAAGTTAGACAATAATATGTAATTTACTGGCAAAGACCATGTGCTTTCATATTCTATTGGTAGTCATGGCACAATTTTTCCAGAAGGCTACACAGATCTGTTTCAAGAGCTTTAATATATTGATACCCTTGACTCAGTAATTTATTTCCTTAGAATAAATCCTGTAAATGAATCAGAAATATACACAAAATTAATGCAAAATGGTATACAGTAGTCCCCCCTTATTTGCAGTGGATACATTCTAAGATCCACAGTAGATGCCCAAAAAACAGATAGTACTGAACCCTATATATACTATGTTTTCCTATACATACATACAAAATTTAATTTATAATTTGTAGGCATTATATATTCATATTATATTTATGTTTATATTATACTTATAATATTTATAAATATCAGCATTTCTAAATGTTATATAATGGAATTAACAATAACTAGTAAAATAAAACAAGTATTACAATACAGTATAATAAAAGTTATGTGAATATGGTTTATTTTTCTCTCTGATAACTGAGGTGTTAAGTGACTAATGGTTGGGTAAACAGCAAGAATACGCTGGACAAAGGGATGATTCACATTCCGGGTGAGATGGATCAGGAAGGCCTTAGATTTTATCACACTATTCAGAACAGTGTGCAATTTAAAACTTATGAATTGTTTAATTCTGAATTTTCCCATTTAATATTTTTAGACTGGTTGACCAAAGGTAACAGAAACCATGGAAATCAAAACAGTGGATTGGGAGCAAGGGGAGAACCACTGTATGTACTGCAGTGTTATTTTTAATGATGAAAAATTAGAAACTACTTGAAAGTCAGCGAAAGGGATTAAATAAATCAGGTTATCTATGACAATGGCTGGGAATACTAAGCAGCCAGTAAAAATCATGTTTCCCAAATTTATTTAGTGATAAAGAAAAATGGTTATGTTAGATAAGAAAATAAAAACAAGAAATATATACATTACATCCAATTTTGTTTTTAAAAGTATATACACAAACATGCTTAATTCTTACCCATGGTATTCTGCATTTTCTAAATTTTATATATTGTTTTATAATATAAAAATATTATTTTTTAAAAAGAGATGAAAAGCACTTTTTTTAGTTGTCTTTAATGCCTAAATATGAGAGAAAGCTTACTTTCATTTTCTGGGTGTACACCCATAATTGGTTTTTGACAAAAAATATGCTATAGATCTGTATAGTTGGGATAGTGCAGAAAACAAACCTGGTTGTCCTCCTCCATATATTTCATTGTAAATATATAATTGTAAATATTCCACTTTAGTCATGGCTAAAACACAAATACTTAAGTTGATTCTGTAATCAGTTGTGTGATGCTTAGGGCCATCTCAAACATCTTTATTTGGATTTAACCACCCACATCTTTATATCTATTGCCTAGAACTGAACTTCCCTTCACATTAGTGAAAGGGGCTAGAAATACTGAGATTTCTCTTTAATAGATTATTAACATCAAAGCTTAAAATGTATTTATTATTTATTCCTACCAAAGACTAAGCATGAAGCTTGCAAATATTCTAATGGCCTGAAAGAAAATTGTATGATTCCTCCCACTTACAGAAACAGCTAAGAAGTCTGTGCAGAGAAGCTAACATCTAAACGAAAAAAGAAAAAAGCCCCACAATTCAGATAATGAAAGGACAAAACCTTTGCAGAACATAATTTAAGCAGCAGTTTTATTATATGGTTCTCGTTTCCTTTAAAAGAGTAATGTTGTAATACGACATATGGGGATAACTGAGCACATTTGGAAAGTTTACCAAATTTTGACTGAGAGACAAGAAATTTTAAGATGTGCTTTGGGAGCTACAGCAAAAACCCTGGCATTTTACCAGGTCACAAAATTACTAAGAAGGAGAAAGAATCATCTAGTAATCCAAGTAAGAATTCACATTTTCCTTAAACCACTAACCAAAGAGTATCCTTAGTTTACAGGAACACCTTCTAGGTATGACAAGTCACCTGTATGACTCTACACTGAAAACTCTACATGGTCAGGGATGATGGCTGCTTTTGCATTATATTGTCAGTACTAACATGTTGCCTGGCACTTAGCTACTTATTATATATTGGAGAAATAAATGAGTGAACATATTACAAAGAATTTTTTTTAAATAATGAAAATAGGCCCGGCTGGTATGGCTCAGTGCTTGAGCACTGACCCGTGCACCAAGAGGTTACCAGTTCAATTCCCAGTCAGGGCACATGCCCAGGTTGTGGGCCCAGCCCCCATTGAGGGGCATGCAGGAGGCGGCCAATCGATGTTCTCTCATCAATGTTTCTCTCTCTCTCCTCTCTCTTTAAAATCAATAAAGAAAAACTGTATTAAAAAATTAATAATGAAAATAGTAATAATAGCAAACATTAATTCTTACTGTGCTTAATAAAATATATTATTTAATTTTAATCCTTAAAACCAACCCTATGAGGTGGACAGTATTATGCCTACTTTACAAAGGAAGAAGGCACAGTGAGGTTAAATAGCTTGCTCCAAATTACAAAGCTACTCAATAATTCCTAAGAAAAAAGGCAGCTAGAACTAATTTACCACAAAATACTTGTTGGATGAATAGACAAATGAAATAATGTAGTTAAGATTCAAACCCAGATTTAACTCTATCTCCCAAGAATCCAAAATCTTATTTAGAAAATAAGGGTTTCCGAAGAACATAAAAGAGTTATGTTGTTTCAACCTTACTGTTGGAGGGCTCCGAAATTTGTGTCACTGAAAGATAAGAAGAAAAAAATAGCTCCAGTTTTATTCATATGCTAGTGAACCAAGAAACTGGGACAGATGTCCTAGAGGGGACTGCCTAAAGTTCATGTTTTGAGGCACCCTGCCTCCCAGTCTTGAAATACATGACAATAGTAGATAAAATATAAAACGGAAAAAATAAAAAAGGTATAGCTGATACAGTTAATAATCTGGTTAGTAAATAACAGGAGAGGAGCAAAAGGGAGGATTAGATAATATAGGCATGCCATTAATTTTGCCAGGAAACTGCAGTTAACATTCTCCAAGTCTGTTCCTCACAGATCAGTGGGGAAAAGGATTGGACAAAGGCAGTCTAGATGCATGTCCAGTTAGGTCTGGGTGATGTAGGAGTATACTTACCTGTCAGTCACATCTGGGAATAAGTCAGTGGCCAGAACATGCATGGCCACTGCAATGGTGCAAAATCTGAGATACATAAGTTCCTAAACAAAGAAAGTTCCCTCTCTTGGTGCTCTTGGCTCTTGACCCTCTTGCGCTCTTGGCTCTCCTACTGCAGAGGGCATGCTCCCCTGCCTTCGTCCACATGGCTCACAGCTACGTGGCACCCACACGATGGACTAATGGACTGAAGTAGCCTGATGCCTGATACATCAGACTCAGCTTCACATGGAACAGAAACCCTGCACACTGGCCTTGCTTCTAGCTCTGCTGAATCTACAACTGCCCCCTTTCCAGGACTGGAGTAAGGGAACTGGGACTTTACAACCCAAGGAGTTTAACTCCATGAAAATAAAGCTTTTTACCACATCTCATTCTCTGGTGTGAGTCTTAGAAAATTCATTTTCTCAAGATACTGCAAGAATCCCAATCTCACCAGTGACAGGGACATTCATTTCTCCAGCAATATAGCCTCTCTCAAAACCAAAAATAAGAACTAGAATGCACACTGTTCCTGCTAGGTCTGCTGTGCAAAGGCAACTGGGAGTTTCCCTAGCTTTAAAGTAGGGAGAATAATAATAACAAAAGACAGAAGGTAGGAGAGAGATGGGAGATAGTTTAAGATGAACCTTTAACCTAGTGTTGGGAGTGGGGCTCCTTCATGAAAAAAGCCTGAAAACAGGGAAAATGAGACTGGCTTATAGGAAACTGAGTAATTAGGGGAAACCTGAAGGCAGCAGACATAGCCTCTGTGCTACAACCTGGGCCAAGCCACTGCGGTGACATATGAACTTATAACAAACACTACATGATTAGAATTCTGAATCATCTGTATAAACTCTACTGTGGACTGAAGGCCATGAGCAAGAGCTACCACAAAATCAGTACTAAACAAGTGGTTTGCAAAGAGGAAATGCTAATTCCATTCAAGATTAATCTGCAAAGCAAAATTACAAAAAAAAAAAAGTAAAAATAAAAACAAAATCAACAATCAGGAATAAATTCATTCTATATAAATTGAAACTAATAGGGTGATATGAAAATGGCTTTAAAATAAGTTTGGTTAGGCTCTGGCCGGTTTGGCTCAGCACTTAGTGTCGGCCCGCAGTCCAGAGAGATCCGGGTTTGGTTCCTGCTAAGGGCACGTACCTCGGTTGCAGTTTGTCCCCGGCCCTGGTTGGTCGTGCAGGTGGCAGCCACTCAATGTCCCTTTTATGTCAATGTTCTCTCTCCTTCTCTCCCTCCCACTCTATCTGAACAAAAAATAAAAAAAATGTCCTTGGGTGAGGATAAAAAATAAAATAAATAAGTTTGGTTGAAATCTTTCGGAGACTATAACGAGTAAGAGCCATAAAAACAAAAGAGGAAATTGGGACACAAAAGCAGGCATAACAAAGACAAAAAGGAATCCATGAAAAAGAACCCATTTGGAAACCAAGAAATGAAGATATAAAAATTTCAATAGATAAGACTAACTCCAGATTTCCTGGAGTCCAAGAGGTAATTGATTAGAAGACATCCCGACTATCTGACTCAATTCTGACAAAGAAATAAAATTAAAAAAAAAAAAAAATGGCACAGCAGTTAAAAGACCTGAATTACAAAATGAGAGAAATAGAGGCAAAAAAGATAGAGATAAATGTTTAATCTTGAGTATATTCATTAACCATTTTTTTTTAAAGCTGGAAAATAAAGTAAGCATTCAATTTAAGAACAGAGATAGCCTTGGCTGGTTTGGCTCAGTGGTTAGATCCGTCAGCCCGCAGACCAGTGAGTCTCAGGTTCGATTCCAGACAAGGGCACATACCTTGGTTGCGGTTCGGTCCCTGGCCCTGGTCTGGGTCATGCAGGAGGCAACCAGCCGATGTGTCTCTTTCACATCGATGTCTCTCTCTCCCTTCTTCTTCCCTTCCTCCCATTCTGTCTAAGGATAAATGGAAAATATTCTCAGGCCAGGATTAAAAAAAAAAAAAAAAAAACAGAGACAGAGCAACTCAGTTAAGCCTGAAAATTAGAAGAAAAAATTAATATAAATATTAGGATCTCCAGGATCACTTTTATTTTACTTCCTTTCCAGAGGTAGTACATTAAATAAAAGTCAGCAATGCATGTATCCAAAACAATGTAAGGTGGAGAAAACATAAGCTAAACCTGCCCATTAAGCGAAACATGCAAACTTAAAAACACAGTTAAAATTCACAGGAAACAAAATGCTCTCTTTATGAAACAATAATTAACATTTTAAGAGAGACTATATCCATTATCACTGACATCATTTTTACTAGTTCTCTATCATGTTCAAAAACTGTTGACTGGCTCTGTAAGAAAAATTTTAAAAGCACATTATAGCAATATTTTACAACTCACGTACACCAGGGGGAGCTTTCGCCTTTCCTATCTAAGAAGTCTGAGTTGAATTTAACGTGGCCTATCACTGCATAGTAATGTTACAAACACCTTGTCAAATATATTGCAAGATCATATGCTAGTCAATGTCATTATCATTTTTAAAGCTCTCTTTCCAATTAAGAAAATGCACTGCAGTAAGTGAATTTTTTAAAGCTTTGAATAAGCTAGATACATTGAGGCACAGAATATAACAAAAACAATGCTGGCTTGAGATCCTACATATTATTGCTTACAGCACACTGTACATACAAGGATATGTACCAACTCCCACCACCTAACCTACAATAAGCAGTCCACTATGTACTAGCTTTTTCAGAATACATGTTAAGCAAAACATAAGAATATTTACTAGGTATACTTGCTTTCTAATTTTAGTGTTGACCAGTTTACAAGCTCCATGGCAAAGTTTTGTGTTCCTCCCTTACATGCAGTGACACTCTCACAGTACATTTTCATTCATTAACCACGTGCCACAAATATTTATGAACAGTGTGTTGTAGCAATCATAGAAATATTTGCGTGAAATTTCGGTTAGCACAGAATTTTTAAAAATGGTTCATTTAGTCACAAAGTAGGTTGTCAGGTGGTCTTATAAGTCTAAGAACTGGATAAATATGTCTAAGGCCATTTGGTGTGAGATGTATACACAAAAAAGTGTTTCAATATTTCTTGTATTTCCACTTCTTAACGCAGATTTCGGCAGGAAGAACACACTTTTAAAAAAAGAAGTCAGTGAATGGCCAAAGAAAAATTAAAAAAAAAACAAAAAAAACACAACTCATGGATTTTATTGATTGGGCTAAAATAAACAGTCTTCATAAATTATGCCACAGATTCCCTTCCAGGAAGATCCAAAAGAATGTTGAAATAACTGCAGAATGGAATTAAATGATCTGAAGGTGACAGGGAAGGAATAGATTTTTAAAACGCGCCGGCCAAACCTACAGTAGCAAAAGAGCTTGGTTCAGCTGTCTGGCCCCTTGGGCGGAGGACTGGGCAGGGATGGGAAGAGAGGGGCGGATTTAAAAACCAAGAAGTGAGAAAATCATCTGTTGCTATTCTCTTTATATCTCTACAAAAATGCCCGAATTTTAACACTTAAAATATTTCAGTGAAATCAAGTAACATCCCGCTCTTCTTAAAATCGTCCTGAGCTTGCCACGATGGGACCTCAAAGCACCTGCAACAACTGTGCTCTCTGCACTGCGGGACGCTCCGCTACGTCCGCCTCTCCTCGGGGCCACGACATAAGGAGGTTTCAAGTAAAGCGACTTGCCCACTGTCTCTAGTCTCAGTGGCAAAACCATAACTCGTTTCCCGACCCTTCAGACTCAAGGTTTCCCTCTCCCTTCGGTCTTTGAAAACTCACACTCTTCACAAACTAGGGCCCGGATCCCGACCCCCAAACAGACATCGACAGCTGCCGCCCCACCGTGGGAAGACAGAGACTCGTCCCACTCTCCCCTCTAGGGCACACGCCGACGGACGCATTCTAAACCAGCCAATCAGGAAGCTTCTTGGCGGGCCGCGGAGGCGCATTTTACCTGACGTCACTTCCTTCGGGAAGAGGGTCGCGGCTGCCATTTCCACAGCCTCCCTCTCTTCCCCGGAAGCCCTTATTGCTAATCGAGGGCGGCATTGGCTGAGCGCCCTTTTTGTGGACCGACAATACCAAAGGGTAGGCGAGGGCTAGCCTCTGCAGGGGACTTACCGAGCTGAGGAGTTTGCGGGGAACCAGAGAGCACGCGCAGAAAGCGTTTTTGGAGTGGCCTTCATACCACTCACGAGTCCTCCTTCGGAAACTTCAACTCCCAGAGGCAGGGATGGAAGCTGCACGTCAGAGGCTTCGGCGGTTACGCCTTACGTCATGTAACTGCGCCAGCTTCGGCCTCGCACGCGGAGAAGCGGGGCGGGGGAGTTTGTGTAGGGCGGGGTCAGGATTAGGGATTTTAGAGTGGGAGGTAGTTACGGTGATGTCTGTTTTTCCACGTTATGGCACGTGTGTACCTCCGGGCATGTATTCATTCATATATTCCTGTGGGGATATTGAGGGTGGTGGGTGGGGATTAAGACATTCCTACTCTTAAAAATGCGAAACAGTGGCAAAGGGCTCTTAATTCTTCTGTTAGAGATGAAAGGAAAGCATCACTTTCTTGCCTAAATTTATATAGAAAAAGGTGGTCATGATTTTACACAATTAAAATGGAAAATCAAAATGTAAAAGTGAGTCAAATTCCCAATGAGATGCTATTAAAGTAGAATGTTAAGACTTTTTTCTTGCTTAGAGCTGGAAATCTTACTCTCCATTCATTCGTTGAGTTATTTTTCCTGTGCTGTTTTTGCAAAACATCAGCTGATATTTCATTGTTTATAATACTTGACCTTATGTAATCTTTTTGCTATATATAGACCAAGTCAACTGAGAGAAAACTGAAACATAATCCTGTAGATTGTTGTCTTCTGTTTAGTTTTTTTTTTTTTTTTTTTGCTCCTACTTTTAACAAGTGATTATTGCAAACTTTGAAGAATAAAGTTTGAAGATTGCTATCAGTATGAAAACAATTCTGAAGCAAAGTTTTCTTGATATTTAAAAACATACTTGAATATGTTTAAAGGTTTCAGTGAATAAAAATTAAATTCAGAATTTGAGTTTTCTAAAAGAATTGAAATTTATCTAAATTTAATCACAAAAAATGAAGTTTCCCCTGCTTTAAACCCTCAAATATTTCTTGAAAAACTATGTCAGCTGTAACACTGTTGTGAGTCACTCTGTGTTTCTTCCTCATCTCAAATCTAAAAGATCTCTTAATTGAGCCTTGGATCCATTTCAGATTTGTTAGTAGGGCATCTTTTTTCAGCTGCCTCCATATCAGGGCAAAGAGTAGCTGAGGGAGGATTAGTAATTGGATATGTAGCCCTTCACATGTAGGTCATTAAACTCAGGTTGGCATAGTGATGTGCCAAATCTTTTAACAGCTGTTCAGTTCCTCAGGGATCTGTTTTATGAATAATTATATATAATTTTTTTTTCAGAATTAATACCTGGCATCCTTTGATATGTTTTAAAATTTAAGTTACTTTAAAAACCCTCTTAGAAGTCAATACGTTGTCTTTTGACAAAGCCATTTAACTTTGTAGCCATGGTGCAAAATTTGAAATTCTAGTATCCAAAGCAAACACTAAAAAAAAAAAAAAAAAAAAAATACCAGCAAAACAAACAAAAAAACGTGGGAGAAAGTAAAATCGTGATATGAAATAATCTCATTTTTATTGATTTGTAAAATTCATGTGTTTAACATACTTGTTGAGTTTCATATTTTTTGTCTTGATACTCTTGATACAAAGATAACTAAATCATGATTGGTATCTTTAAGGAATCCCTAGTCTAGTGAGAGAACCAGTAGCAAATAAATACCATGCAACATATAATATACTTGAGATGCTTGTACATGGAAAGGAGTATCTAAATGCTCTGGAAACAGGAGACATCGTTTCAGAAGTTTAATAAGTTTGTTCCCTCTTGGAAAGTAAGTAGATAGGAAGAAGAGAAAGATCTTTAAAATACTGGGAACAGTGAAAGCAAAGACATAGTTTGGCACATGATTGAAAAGTTTTGGTAGGATGTGGAAGAAGGAGAAAAGAGGAGCCCTAAGGCTTGGACAACAGGAATGTAATTGTGTTAGCTGGGTCATTTAGAGAGTAGTGGAAGAAAAATGGGTTTTGAAAAAAATAGTTTGGTTTTGAATGGGTGCGTTCTGGGAGTCTGTAGGACATTTAAGTAGAAAGAGGTTTAGAAATCACATATTTGGTAGTTTAAGCCAACATAAGAGTTGGAAAATCAAAGAGGTGTTAGTCCATGGTTACAAACCTATAAGACTTACAAGGACTAGAAGATAAGGAAAGACAAAAGCTATCTGGGTGACCATTGTCACAAACATGAGAGTACATTCCCTATTTAATCAGGGTACAAGTTCCAAGTAGGAATGTGGGCCTAATGACATGAGATCTTATTTTTTTTAGAGCAGCCAGAAATCTGAATCTTTATGTGAAACCTGGTTTTTAAGTGTTGGCAATGATTTTTTTTTTTAATACTGAGCAGGCTAAACAAAGCGTGCCTGTGAACCACATTCAGAAAATTGGTAGCCAATCTGTTAAATGAGACTATGGAGTGAGAAAGGAGCTACAGATAGAACCAGAATTTTAGAACACAAAAACATACTAATAAATAATTATGAGCTCCTCTAAATGTTTAACTTGAGAACATTGGGCAGTCATCACAAATTTCATTATGTTAAGCCTAATTCTGATACCTCATTAAGTTTGAGAGTACTCTGCAGCAAGTTGGGAGTGGGGAAGTGTGGGAATAGAGCAATACCTGTGAGTAGACTTGGCCTTCTGGATCATAGGTTCTGCATCCCCAGTGGGGGGTTGAAAATGTATATTTTTTAAGTTACATTTTTGCCCTGGCCAGTTTGGCTCGGGGGTTAGAGCTTCAGCCCTGGTCGGAGTCATGCAGGAGGCAACCAGTCGGTGTGTCTCTCTCTCATTGATGTTTCTCTCTCCCCTTTCCTTTCTCTCTAACCATTAGTGGAAAAAAATCCTGGGGTGAGGATTAACAAGAACAACAAAAAGTTACATTGTTGCTGATGGGTGGGTGAAAGTAGGTTTACAGTTGTGAGTACACAAAACAATTCATTCTTATTATTTATTCCTTATTGTATTTTCCATATTAAAACTGTAAACCTACTTTTGCCCCATTCTGTATGTAGTTAGGTCTGCGATGGTTGTGCTTTGCTGAACATGTACAGATGTTTTTTTCTTGTGATTATTCCTGAACAGTACAGTGTAACAACTGTTCACACAGTGTTTATATTGTACTAGGTATTAAAAGTAATCTAAAGATTATTTAAAGTATATAGGAGGATGTGCATTGGTTATATGCAGATACTATCTCATTTTATATAAGGGACTTGAGTACCCTTGGATTTTGGTGTCTGCAGGGTGTCCTGGAACTAATCCTCTGTGGATACCAAGGGACAACTGTATATTAATTTCCAGCTAGGAAAACCAAACATAAACTAATTTTAAAACATGACTTGAAAGGTATCTAAAAGCAGAATCAACTTATCATTTATAGTCATTTCAACTTGCATTTTGATTGATTTCAAAAGTATAGGAAAAGTTTAAAATGTTTTTTGTTTTTGTTTAATTCCTTATTCACCCCCTTCCAAGTAATACATGAATATCAAAGACTCTAGAAAGGTGACTGCAGAGGCATTGTAGTCTGAATCTCCTCATAAAAACAGGTGAAGCATCTAGGATAGAAAAAAAACACTAATGACAATATGCTCAGATCATAGCTACAACATAACTAAATGAAAAAGAATTCTTATAAAGCTCAAAATATGAGTGGGTGTAGAAAGAAATAGTGGGAAGACAACATAGCATCTGAAGGCTATAAGAATGGGAGGACCCAAAACTGCTAACAGGTATTCTCTGGAAAGCAAGGAAGACTAATGTGAAATCAGCAAAACTGTCAGACTATAATTTCAGGCTGGGTACAAAGGGATGAGCAGGAAAATCTGACAGTGTTAGAAAGGTGTATGGGGTTGGGGAGCAGGCTATGAATTCTCAAAAATTCAACGTGAACTCCCTTCTTGGACAAAGCCCAACAGTAAGGAGAAACTTCTGGGAGGAGAATTCAAATTTATCAGGACATGGACAACAGAGACAAAGGAAAAAAATGAAATAGGTCCAGATAAACATGGGAGAGAAGAAACAGAGCTCAGAAATAACAAGAAAACAGAAAAGGAAGCTCTAGAACCGCGAGACTAGATAATTCACCCCTCCCTCTTAAATGTACAGAATAACTTATTTAGCCTAAAAATATACCACAAAGTAGGATTATAGTTGAGTCCTATTAAAAGTTGTTATAATAAAAATGAATATGAAGCAGAGCAAAAAAAGATGAAAAGTATAGCCCAGTATTTCAAAATGAGAAACTTTTTAAATGATAGACAATGAAAAGAACAAACAACAACAAAAAACCTCATAAAGTGATTGGAGAAAAGATCGGAAGAGGAGTGACAGAATTCAAACAGAATATATAGCCCTGGCCGGTTTGGCTCAGCGGTTAGAGCGTCCGCCTGCGGTCTAGAGAGACCCGGGTTCGGTTCCCGCTAAGGGCATGTACCTTGGTTGCAGTTTGTCCCCGGCCCTGGTTGGTCGTGCGGGTGGCAGCCACTCGATGTGTCCCTTTCACATCGAAGTTTCCCTCTCTCTCTCTTCCTCTCTCTCCCTCCCACTCTGTCTGTATAAAAAATGGAAAAATGTCCTCGGGTGAGGATTAAAAAATAAATAAATAAAAATAATAATAAAAAAACCCAGAATATATAATATAACAAATACACAAATATACTCAACATCACACTGGCAGTCCAAGCTGTGCAATAAGGGAAGAAATGGAAATAAAAAGAAGTAAAACTGTTCTCAAATGACATGATTGTCTTTGTAAAAAATCCCCCAAAACCAACAACAACAAAAATTCTTATGAAACATAAGTGAGCCTGGCCAGTGTGGCTCTGTGATTGAGCATGGACCCGTGTACCAGGAGGTCACCAATTCAATTCCTGGTAATATAACAAATACACAAATATACTCAACATCACACTGGCAGTCCAAGCTGTGCAATAAGGGAAGAAATGGAGATAAAAAGAAGTAAAACTGTTCTCAAATGACATGATTGTCTTTGTAAAAAATCCCCCAAAACCAACAACAACAAAAATTCTTATGAAACATAAGTGAGCCTGGCCGGTGTG